GGAGTCAAGAACGCGATTTCGTTGGGAGTTCGAGAGTTCGTCGGAAGTCCGAACGTTCATCGAAAATTTTGCAGGAACCAACCGAGAAGTCTTAGAGCTTGCTAGAGAAGCTCGTTCGAACTCACCAAGAAGATCGTCATGAAGTCCAAGAGCTTGCTAGGAGTCTGTTGGAAGATTATTGAGAGATCGTCGGAAGTTCGCTAGAAGATCGCTAGAAGAAATTAGACTTACGGACTTGTTTAGCTTAGGAAATGTCTTAGAATTTATAGTTAGCACATAATTGAAATTGGAATTGGGCAAACTTAATTAGGGGTTAGTTAAGCCCATGTAACAACTATGTTGGGCCCAATAAAAGGCCCAAACAATGCCCCAAGAGGTGATATCGTCATGGCACAGTCTCCGAGATTGTGCCAAGCGGTGGTATCGCCCAGACACAGCCTCCGAGATGCTACAGGCGGTGGTACCACTAGTCTGGGCAATGGTACCGCCCAGTGCAATATCAATGTCAAACTGACACTAGCGGTGGTATCGCCTTGCACATGTGGTGGTACCGCCTAAACCCAGGAAACCGGGGTTGAGATGTTTTTAGGCTCCAAGTTTGAATCAACTTGACGCTTATAAATACCCCTCTCTTCCTTGGCTAAGACACAAGCACAGTGAGTTTTAAAGTGAGAAAACATTGTAGAAATCACTTGAGAAATCCCTCCTCTAGCTTAAACTTAGAGTTCTATTTAGAGAGGAGTGTGTACTTGTAAAGGTTATCTCCTAAACCTGTGAAAAAGAGAAGAGGGGTGTAAAAGGTGGTTGGTCTTTGCCTATTGAAGGAAGACCGATAGTGGATGCCGATGACCTCGACGGAAGAGGAATCGACGAAGTGGATGTAGGTCACGACGACCGAACCACTCTAAAATCTGGTTTGTATTTTACTTTGAGTAATTTATCTTTACTGCAAACCTCTTCAATAGCTTACTGCTTTTAATACATTTATGAACGTGTTTCAAGTTAAGTTTCCAAAATCGGTTTTCAACGTATGAAGAAATTTTCGTAACCGACGTAATTTTTTCCACTGTACTAATTTACCCCCCCCCCCCCCCCCCTCCCCCTTAGTGTTGACTTTTTTCCTAACAATTTTCATATATTACTTTACCAAATATACATGGTTATACCTTCTCAAACATAAATATGAAGTCTCTATAATCTTTACTCACTTTAGAATACTGATCGAGAACTTTTTTCAATCTACTGTTAAAATAGTTTACTCTAATAGATGAAATGAATACCAAGCCTTAAAAATCTACTTTTCATCCTATGATATACAATATCTCAAGTCACCACCACACACTCCTCAACTAGTTCGTTTTGTTGAATAAAAACATCGATATATAGTTGAAACTTATTTTACTATTTTATACCAAGCCTTTATGTTATAACAACCTTTCAAACTACAATCTACCTCATTAACCGTATGCTCACTCCAGTCTTACAACACTAGTCATCATTTGAAAAACTATTTTATAAAATCTCAAACCTTCAAAAACTTAAAACATTTGGTTGTTTATGTTATTTCTAGTCACGTCCATATGCTTTACACAAGTTAACATCAAGATCCAAGTTAACACTAAAGACTCATACTCTTTTGAACATAATACTTTCTGATATTATGATCTTCAACTTAAAAATCTTTATATCATGTCATATTACTTTTTTTCTTTCAAAACTGTGAGCTATCAATAATGCAAGCCACTCGAACAATTATACTATAAGTAATTGGATTTATATGAATATACATCTGACCCTCTCAAACAAACCTCTTACCGTGCCAACCAATACTTCTCCGCAACACCTCACTCCCTCTTTAACTTCTCTACCGACTCACCTTGCAATGCCCAATAAAACAATACCCTTGGCACTACAATTGATGTCTTTATCTTCTCCTGGGCCAAGTGACACCGAAGTGCATCAACTTAATAAGGTACGTATCAATGACTCTCCACAAATTCCTATACCTACAACATATACCATCGCACTTGGACATCACATGATAACACGCTCCAAAAATGATATTTTCAAACCATACCAAATCCTTGACTTCCATACAATTACAAACTCTCCACTTGAATCTATTAAACCCACAATTATCACCCAAGCCTAAAAATCTCCATATTGGGACAAAGTCATGCGTGAAGAATATGATGCCCTACTCCATAATGCCACATAGACTATTGTACCATTTCATCACACACAAAATATCATTTGGTGTAAGTAGATATTTTGAATTAAGTAGAACCCAAATAGATCTATTGCTAGATATAAAGCATGTCTAGTAGCCAAAGGATTTCACTAACGACCAAATGTTGGCTTCACAAAGATATTCAGTCAAGTTGTTAAATCGATAACAATTTGACTTATCTTAAGTTTGGCTATCACAAAAGACTAACATATACGACAATCGGATATTAATAATGCTTTCTTACAAAGGACCCAACTAAAAATATCTTTATGCAATAACTTTCTGACTTCATCCTCCCTCAATATCCAAGCTATATTTATAAACTACAAAAAATTATGGACTTCATCAAGCTCCAAGAGCATAGTTATACTAAACTTAGCTCATTTTTGGCATTAACTGATTTCATCAACTTTAAGTATGACACCTCATTATTTGAAGTACTATATATCTACCAGTGTATATGGATGACATTATTGTTATAAACAATAATCCTATGGAGATCTAGGAATCTTAAGCTACTTTTTAGGAATGAAAACAATATTCATATCTTTTGGACTTTTCCTATCTAAAAAAAGTACATTCAAGATCTACTATCAAAGATGAACATACATAATGCCAAAAAAGTTGCAACTCGACTCTTTATCACTGAATCACTCAAATTATATGATGACAGTCCTACTATAAATTCTACACAGTATCGATAAGTACTTGGTTCTTTATAGTACTTATCCCCACATATCTAGACATCTTATATGCAGTCAATAAATTATCATAATTTACGCATCGACCCTCTACTATGCATTGATATGCAGTAAAATAAGTCTTGTGATATTTAAAATAGACTCTCAATTATGGACTTCTTTTTCGTAAATACTCATCACTCATCTTTTTATCTTGATGCCTTCGTTGATGCTGATTGGGTAGGCAACATTGATAATAGAATATCTATGTCAGCTTAAATTATTTTCCTTAGAACAAATCCAACTAGTTAAAGTTCTAAAAAATAAAAACTATCATAAGATCCACCATTGAAGTTGAATATTGAACCATCGCCACCACTGCTGTAGAATTCAATTGGGTTACCAATCTGCTATAGGAATTCGACATCAACTCTAAATTTACTCATACAATATACTATGATAATATTAGTGCAATCTACCTATGTGACAATCCAATGTTGTATTCACGTATGAAACATATTGTCATCGATTTTCACTTTGAGATTAAATTATCATATGTCAATTATGTGTTTCTACTATTGATTAACTAGCAGACTCCCTCACAAAGCCACTCATAAAATATTCTAATTACATAAGTTCAAGATTGATATTTTTAATAAAAGCTCAATCTTACGGGGCAAGATCATCTCAAAAGATCATGAGAGATGCTAATATCATATTTGAATAACTGATTTGATGATAGAGAAAATCTCATATTTGAATAATTGATTTAATTATAAGATTTGAGTGATTGATCGAGAAAAATCTCTCCTTGAAACTTGTATTAATACTCTCGTCACTTCGATCAATTAAGATCAATTGTAATCTATTTCTCAATTCACTACCATGTTGATGCCTTTGAACGCAGCGTCAGTGTCATTCTGTATGCATTTGGTTCTATTGATACATCTGTTTTAGGCAGCGTCCTCCGAAGGATGAACTACAAAGGTGTAGAGTTGAAGACACTCTTACTAGTACACAATTCAGTTGACCTTCAATTGGGGACTCATTCGTTTTGTTGTGTGAAATCCAACATTTGTTTTTCGTAAGGAGCTTTGTCATGATGTGAATGTTCCTTACAATATAGTGAATGGAAACTGTGAGCCTGTGCCAGATACATCAGCTCCTGTTGTGTACATCACTCACTATTGGTGATGGAGGAAATCTTGAAGGGCTTGCAACCAAGAATGACTCCACATGAAATGCTGCAGCATTTGTGCTTGATAATGCTCAATTATGTGACAAATGCAAGAAAAATTTCTTTTCTCGATGGCCAAATTCTTCTTTTTTTTCTTTTGGCATGTGCAATGCAGCATGACAGCCACAGCCCAGTTGCTCAGCTCTCAGAGAATCCAGCTTCTATACCTCGCACAGAAACGATGATGGAAATGCCATGGCTGCTGATTCTACAGCGACCACCAGAAGACCGCAAATGAGATTTCAGCCATGTAATGGCTGTTCATGAACCACAAACTTCAAGGAATAAACGCTATTATGTGTACAGCAGCTACTAGAAGACTGCAAAAGAGATCTCAGCTATGTACTGGCTGATCATGGATTACAAGCATCAAGGAGTAAATGCTGTATACCTATCGCTACTCTCCCAACTTTGGATTATGTATGTAATGAAATACTTTTATATATTGCGGTGTGAGTTGTGAATTAGCTTATGTGGTGCAATTATAGGTTGGCATATGAGGCAGTTGTGTCTTTCTTTATCAGCTCTAGGTTAGGAAATATTTTATTGAAGAGTAGATCAGATTGAACTCACTCCCATCTTAGGTAGACCCATTAGCACTAAACTGTGATGTTAAGATGGCTCCATTCCTAAGAGCATGCACTTTCCAAAATTCTTTCTCACAATTATGATTCTTATAAGAGTTATTAATTATCATGGAAATTATCTCTGTTCTTTATTCTTTTTTATAATTCTACAATACGTCGCGAACAATAATTCAATATCTGTTCATTCAAAACTCTTTTCAGATTTTTCAAAATTCTTAGGAAAGATTGGAGGATAAGTAGAAGAACATAAGTTCACTTTTGTTTCCCTCTCCTTCTTCTCTAATAAGAAGAAATTAAATTTCAGTATAAGATTGAGCGTGTGTCGACAAGCCTAACATCAAATAAAATTGTAAGCATTAATGCTCACATAAATGTTGAAATAGGCTCATAAACTAAATTAATTTGTTTTTACATGTCAATTACCCAGAAAAAAAAAATCATTTGGCACGCTGCTAAGCGAGTGAAAAGCATAATCAATTGTTAACAATATAATAACAAGTAAATAATGCCTATAAAAGTTATCAACACTAATATGTTTATCCACTTATTTTACAGTGATTTATCAAAATACATAAAGCTAGATCATAATTTTGCCTTGCTTTTCTAACAAGGGATAATGTAAAGAGATGGCTCAAATTGTGTGCTGCACCATTACAGCCAAGTCAAACTAAGTTGAGTGCCAAAAAGCAAAAAGGAGACCTAATTCTTGGAGGGTAACAATAAAGGATATGATGAACTCAAGATCATTAATCAATAGCTGATCTAGAGATGAATGGTTAAAAAATAACTGCTAGATTAATAGGTCTACTGAGTCTAAATTAAATAAAAAATGAAAAAAAGGATGAATTAGGCCAGAACATGTTCATCTGAGTCTAATATGATCTTCAAAATAGTTTTGCAAAAATGATTTTGTTTTGAGTCATTAGAAAAGAAATTTATATCAGAATAAATCATGGGTGAAAATAAAAGGGGAAAATATTATGAATTTATTGTTGCCAGACTCACATGACATTCCTAATCATACAAGATATCGTAATTAAATTATCAATTATGATAAGATGAAATAGAAAATTTACAAGTAGAAAGCCTTGAAAAGGACAGAGTTTGATTAGAAAAAAGAACACATTTGCCTAAAAGACACCAATTTTGAGAATTGGGAATATAATGAAGCTGAAATAATACAACACCACCGTCAATCTAAATCTGGACGAGACAAGAAGAAGGATTTTAGGTGACAGCCAAAGAACTGTCTCGAAATGTTATGCCCATGGGATGTTAATCTTGAAGCTAAATATCAGATATAAATTAAAGATCTTATCAAGAAAAAGGAGGAGAAAGATACAAATTGTTAACAGGAAGTATTAGATGCATAGAAGATTAAGATTGAGGAGTTCATATCAATGTTTGGTTTGCTTAATGATGTTAACGTCGAACGGTTGAGATGATCATGATCGATTGCTGTTACCTTATCAAGTATTGGCGAAATAACTGGGCCCCACAGAAACACCTTATTTTCCAACCAATAACCGTGGAGATAGTGAGACGCGTAAGAGGGAAAGGGTAAAATGGAAACTTTCGAAGAAGACCACCGATTCTTCGACGCGTGCGCCGAGACCAGCGGTCGGGGGCCGCCGCCGTTGCCCGATAAAAGCCAACAGTTGCCGCGATCTACCGGTCTCTTCCTCCTCTCATGGACTTCCCCCGGTCCCTTCAGCTCTCGACGACACTCATCGCCCTCCTCTTTCTCCGCTTCTCTTCCCTTTCCTTCTCCTACTCCGACCTCTTCGAGTCCTGGATCAGGGAGCACGGCAAGCGCTACGCCTCCGAGGAGGAGAAGCTTGCCCGGTTCCATGTCTTCGAGGACAACCTCGCCTTCGTCGACGCGCACAACGCTGCCGCCAACTCTTCCTACGAGCTTGCCCTCAACGCCTTCGCTGACCTGCTGCCCCACGAGTTCAGGGCCGCCCGGCTAGGTCTCAGCGCCGGCCTCGCTGTGCCGAGGGCCAATCGTACGGCGTTCCGGGGATCCTATGGCGCCGTTCCATCCTCGGTAGATTGGAGCAAGGAAGGGGCCGTTACGTCGGTCAAAGATCAGGGGAGCTGCGGTATGAATCTGGGCTGTTGCTTTTCCTCTTCCATTTCGATATAAAGCTTTTATTTCTTTTATCGCTTTTGGGTGTTTCATTCGTTGGCTTATCTTGTATGCCTTCATGCGAGGAAAAAATATCTCTGCTTTTGATGTTATTGAGATATATCTTGCAGAGTAGAAAATGCTTACTAAAAGAGAGGAGATTTAGTGTCTTATGTGAGTTGGACGCAACGAGGCACTGCTCTAAAAGCAGACTTGCCTCCTAATTGTACAGGGTCGGTGGCAAGTGTTTTCCAATCTATTGCCATTATGACGGCATACTAGTGACCTTGTGACAATTCTCCGCCCAAATCAAAGAAATGTCTAATTCTGTGCTTGAAAATTAAGGGAGATAACGTTTGAGATTGAGAGGGGAAGAGGAAGATATTCGGAACAGAGAGAGCTTGGTGGTAACCAAGAGTTCCTTTGACTCTATCTATTGAAGTCCAATAGTTGAACCTTTTTGGTTCCCAATTGCCAAGTTGTTGAACTAGCTTGGGCAAGCGTCAAAGCTGCCAAAAGGTTTGATCAGGCTTCAATTGCAAATTACTGATAGTCCAGCAGCACCCGGCGAGAATCCACTGAGATGCCTCATAAACCATTCCATCTGGACAAGCCAAGCTCATATCCAGATTCAGGGTATATGGAAGCAGTAACAAGAATCAAATCAATTGGTTCAAGTAGAAAGTATAAGGGGCTTCCAGTCCTGTCAAAATTTGCTTTAATCAGGCAGGTGAGAAATGCAATATCAACAAAATAATTCTATGTGGAACTAGGGGAAATAAGGGATGTTTTGAACCTTTTACAGTCTCCTCACAAAAGACTAAAAGATAAAAAATTTAAAGTAGTATAAATATAGTAAATCACATAAAGAAGGTTCAGATAAATTGGGACTTATGACTTTGTTGTTGTTGTAGTATGCCTTTTGGTTGGAACCTGGTGGGTTAGGCCTTCCAATGGTTTTTAGTCAGATTGCTATCAGTCACTAAGGTAGTAAAGGTTGTTCATTTAGTCCACGAGTTGGGTTGTATGACAATGTGTACCAGAGTTGACGAAATGATATTCTAATAAGTTGTTATCAAAGGTGTTTAAAAAGAATAGAAAAACAAAAGAGAAGATGTGGACAATCTAAATTATGTTTATAAGAAGAAATAAGGAAATTGTCAGATCGTTATCATCAAACAAGAGATATTGCTTTATGCCCTCAATTTTCCATCTGATTATATATGCAACTTACTAACTTATAGGTTAATTTTGGGTTAAGGTAACTGAATATGAATTATTCACATATCGTAAGGCATCATGTCGAAATATTCATTGTTATGATGTTAGTCACATAGAATGCAGTTTATGTAATTATTACAAAATGGATGAGTTCAAATTCCATATTGACGGTCTCAAAAGGTTCCCACACTGGTGAGTTCCCAAATGGTATATATGATGGATGACTCACGATTTTTCATCAAATTCATTAAAAGGTAAACTATCTAATTATTACAAAATGAGCACTAGCATCATAGAAGATAATCACTCTAATGTTACTGTGGCACCATTTCAATCCATGGAGTCTCCTACTTTGTTTGTCCAATCACTAAGGTTTTGTTTCCAATTTAGGTTTGTTCCTAATGAGAACTGCAATAACTTATGTTCCACAGGATTTCCGAGAATTTTATTTATGTTCATGTACATGCTAACCAACAAAGTATTTGATCTTGTACTTTGTCATAAATTCACATGCTCTCTAAAAGTTTGTAGACTATTTCTGTATTTCCTATTCTAGAATGTTATATGATTCTTGAGACCTGTGTTATCTAGCAAAAGAAGTATTCAGAATGAGCCTAAAAATATTGATCATAATGGAAAGACATTAATGAAAGAACTGCTTTATTGGATGGTTGTCATCAGCCATCTTCTCCTGTTTTATCATCTTCTTGGTTCTTGCTATATCTCATTATCGTTCTAAATATTTGCTTTCACTTGTAACCCATTTTGCCTTTTTTTTGTTACCTTAATATGTCCCTACTGCACATAAATAAATATGAAAAATGGATTAGGAGTTAGGACAGCTCCTTCAACTCACTCTCCTGCATTTCTTTCTTTTCTGACAGTCAATTCCTCCTGCTTTATCAGCATCCAAGGAGCAATAGAATTGGATCTGAATTCCAGCAGGAAAGCATCTTGAACCTTTTATAATAGAAGAGGTCCTTGCCAGGTTTTAAGTGATCATATACCAAACTTGTCCAAGAACTAGATACATCGGTATAACTTAAGTTGATTTATTGAGGATTTCATTTCTGATGCACACTACCTCAGTCTAGTGTCAGCGATTATGGTATGTATACTCTGGTGTACCTTTGGGTAAGAATATCAAAGATATGTCTCTTACATTGATATATTTTGGTACATCAATGTGCGACATACTAGTATGGGAATGGACCAGTAATTATTGGTTGATACAGATCAAAGTGAGTCCATGGGATTTAAGTCTTATTAGGTATTGGAACCATTGTAACCTCATGTAGTATCAGTAACCTTGGCTTGTGTTTGTGTGCTTCATTCGTTAGTGCTATATATCTTTGTAGAGGTGGGCTTAGTGTTCAGTCCTCCAGAAAGCAGCAGTCCTCCAGGAAGAAACTGCTTTTTAGAGCTTATGCAAGTGCATATTATGAACAGAAAATAATGCTTTCCCTTGAGCTTTTGGAGCAGATGTCAGAAATGCAGTTGGTAAGTCAAAATCCTTCAGATTAGTTTCACAACAATTTCTTCTTTTTTGTTAAAAAAGTGACTTATAGGGCATTTGTAATTTTTCAATATCTTCAAATTGTTCGTTGACATCTTCGACAAAGTTGACTCATGCATTAGCTTGTTTATTCGGACACTCGTTCATGTGGTGTCCTACTTGTTTACATTTAAAGCAAGTAGAAGGGTGACTTGTGCGACTTGATTGCCCTCCACGGTTGTTAGGAGTTAGTTTGGATGCATTATTCATGATTCCGTTAGCTTTTGATCCACTAGCATTATAATAAGTAGAGCCAACTTTAGAACAGGAATGTAAAGGAACATTAAAATACCTCTTTGCTCCACTTCTAGCAATTTTTGCTTCAACTTTTAGCGCTAATTGATAAGCATCAGATAATCTCCATAGTCGTTGCATCTCCACTTCATCTCGAATCATAATTCGTAGGCCGCTGACATATCTTACAACAAGTTGTTCTTCCATCTCTTAAGTGTCATTTTGGGCTATTAACTTGTAGAATTCTTCAGTGTAGTCGATGACGATTTTGCTACCTTGCTAAAGATCATTAAATTGTGAAAAGAGAGTTTGAACATAATCAGATAAAGAAAATTTTCACGGAGCCGAGATTTCATCTTTTCCCAAGATGAAATCTTCATCTACTCTTTCCGAAGGTGTATCTCTTTCACCTTGTCCCATCAGATTGAAGCATAACCTCGAAACCTTGTAGCAATTAATTTTACTTTTCGATCTTCGGGCATCTCCTTGTACTCAAAGAATTTCTCAATGGTACTAAGCCAATCAAGAAACTCTTCAGGTTAAAGTCGACCATGGAACTTAAACAATTCAATCTTGATGTTGCCATTTGCATGAAAAAAACCTCTCCATGGATGAGCCTCCTATAACTTCTTTGGATGCAAAGGGATTCATGTCTTCGAATCCATCACTTGCATAGCCATAGCTTGAGCCTCTAGAGCCATGGGTTTCGTAACATTCAAGGCGTATAGTAAGCTCTTCAACTTGTCTCCTTGGTGCTTCAATGTTTGCATCCCTTTCATCTCTATCTGGTTGCATCATTTGTTTCGTCACATCGTCCTCTTCCCCTTCTAGTTGCCATAAGAAGGAAGTACTCTAAGAGCGTAGCAAGTCTCTGATACCAAATGATGTGAAACGAGATGAAGAGAGAATAAGAGGACGAGAAAAAGAAGTGAGATATGAGAGAACAAAAGAGAACTCTCTCTTTTTCAAAAAGATAATTGTGAGCTAGTAGCTCAAAATACAAAAGCTTGATAAAATTTAAAAAACAAGAATGCTCCAGTAATCTTCCTTCCTTCCTCTTTTATAGATCCCTTGTATATTGAATCCCTCAACCACCTAGTTAATGAGTCATAATTTACTAAAAGTCAAGTACAAGTTACTATACATATTAAATTCGTGGTGCATTATATCTTGGTGGTTTTGAATTTTAATAATTATCTCAAGATATGAATCATTTTCTTGAAATTTGATAGGGTTAGCTTAAAATTTATTGTCTTGGAACTTGGGAGCTTTCAATGCTCACTATACACTTGCATTATTGTTACTAAATTTGTCCTTGGTATCCAAAAATGAAGCTGACTGCTGGAACCATAAATTTTTCTTAGCCTAGTTATGGTTTCTGCATTGTAAATTGCTACTGTCTAAGTGGGCTTGAAGGTGTGACATGAACATGATACAAGAGACTAAATAAGTTTAAAAACACTCGAGTATTTTTTTTAATGTTTTACTTACAGTGGAAGTGCCTATTTTTTCAGGTGATTGTTGGGCCTTTTCAGCCACTGGTGCAATAGAAGGAATAAATAAGATTGTAACTGGATCTTTGGTAAGTCTATCAGAGCAGGAGTTATGTGATTGTGATCAGAGTTATAATAGTGGTTGCAATGGTGGTCTTATGGACTATGCTTTCAAGTGGGTGATTGAAAACCATGGACTTGATACAGAGGATGATTATCCATATCAAGCTAAACAAAGAACCTGTCTAAAGAACAAGGTAGTGACGAACACATAGTATTATTGTTGTCTACATATATTGCACTTTTGGCAATTCTTCTGTCAGCTGATATTCTTCATATATACAGCTGAAGCGTCGGGTTGTAACAATTGATGGCTACAAAGATGTGCCTGCAAATAATGAAAAGCTTTTACTGCAAGCTGTTGCACAGCAACCCGTGAGCGTTGGAATTTGTGGAAGTGAAAGAGCATTTCAGTTATACTCGAAGGTCTGCAACCTGCTTAAAGAAGCTCATTTTCTTTCCACAGGTTGTTATTGCTGAATTCTCATGGTTTAGTCATTCACCTCTTTCATTCACAGGGTATATTTACTGGACCTTGTTCAACTGCTTTGGATCATGCTGTCCTGATTGTAGGATATGGTTCGGACGACGGTGTAGATTATTGGATTGTGAAAAATTCATGGGGAAAGAACTGGGGAATGAATGGTTATATGCATATGCTTCGTAATAGTGGTGATTCACAGGGCGTGTGTGGGATTAACATGCTAGCTTCCTTCCCAACGAAGACTTCTCCAAATCCTCCACCACCACCAGCTCCAGGTCCCACTAAATGTAGCATTCTAACCTACTGTCCGGCAGAGAGCACGTGCTGTTGCAGCTGGCGTGTGTTGGGATTATGTCTTTCATGGAGTTGTTGTGACCTTGAGAATGCAGTTTGCTGTAAGGACAACCAATATTGCTGCCCATATGATTATCCCATCTGTGATACCAGTGGGAAACAATGCTTGAAGGTCTGACCTCTCTTTGACGCTTAAGCTAACATATTTTTCCCTTTTGTTGTTTCCTTTTCTACATTGGTGATAGCTAATATGGTAAAGTGTGATCATTTTTGTTTTCATTTTTCTTCTTTCTAAGTGCTTTCCAACTATACAAAACTTCCAGTAATGATTTCTTCATATCCTTTTTGGGTACAAGTTGACCTTGAGTATCCTTTTATTCCAAAAAAAAGAAGTATTCATTTTCGTGTCATTGTAAATTTGGTTCCAGGTTTTGTTTTTTGGCTTGTCCTTACGCATTCTGCATAATTCGCTTTTGCAGGGAAATGGAAATTCCACTGTTACAAGAGGAATTGCAAGGAAAGAACCTTTTACAAAAGTTGGGTCTTGGAAGGATTTGCTCGCGGCATGGGATCCATAAAGGATTTACCAGTAAGGAAATAATTTAACATATTTACATGCCATTTACTGCGGATCTCCTCATGCTAACTACGGTGTTGTGTATATGCTTTTCAGATTCCCTACTCCGAAGCATGTGTAAGGTTGCCAGGATAATGTAAAGTGGGATCATTCATTTTCAGCACCGCATGATGTGTTGATGTTTCATGATTGAACCTCAAATATCTGCCATATGTTCATAGTTATTGGTCAGTTGCAATTGCAGTGTGATGTTCTACTTATCTGTGTGTCATCGTCATTATAAACTATTATTTTGAGAGAACGCCTTCTTGAGATAATACACAAAACTTATGGTACCTCTGGTAGATTTGTGTTGTACCAAAAGCTACTCTTAACGGTGGAAATAAGTAGAGCACTAGATAGATCGGAGTACCTTTAGAGTAAGTCATTTTATTTAAGCAGAGAAGCTTCTGTCCTGTAATGTTTGAGAAAAAGATTGAGCATGTAAAATTTATCAATATTTGTCATTTGGAAATTCCGGGTGGTTCGGAGTGTTTTGTGTTGTATCGTATATTCTTTCTTGTCGTCATAGATAATGAGCTTCCTGGTGAGTATTACCTATGCATTCTGCTGCATATAGCCGTTTACAATGAAAATTTTGATTTGATTTGATTTGAGAGCAGCAAAAGAAGAAGAAAAGATTTTGATTTTGTAAAATTTTGAATCGGAATGTAATCGATTTTAGGTGATTTCAACTACTGTTATTCAATTTCATTTGATTAAAAAATAAAAAAAAGAAATTACTATATAAGTAAAAGTCTACCAATACAATATAGTCATGCATGATAAGACATAAAAGCTCTAGAGTTAAAACATGACAATGAAGTCCTACATCAAATATATCAAACAAATACAATTTTCTTTATTTCTTTATTTTCTTTCTTTTTCAGATCAAACTTGGAGTGATCCAGTGCATCCTCAAAGATTGTTGTCCTCTGGTCATTACTTTGATGCTTTGTCTCTCTATAATGCAAACATCATCTGAAAATGGATGAATGAGATATAAATAATTACCATAACATTTAGCTTCATGAGCTGAGATTGAGATAGCTTGGTTACAATTTCTCACAAACAATGTTCGATCACCCAAGCTCTCAATCTTGATCCAAATTTTGTTCTTAAGATCGAGTCGAAATATATAGACTTCTTCAGCATTCCAATCGTACGAAGAGTTATAGAAGCACACTAATAATATCTCTCCGCAAGATTCAACTAAGCACGTATCATAATAATATATGTCAGATATATCCATAGGAGGTGGCACATCCATTTTCTTAATCCGTAGAGGAAGAACTTGAAAAGTCACCAAGTGTTGGTCGGGGTGAAGAAAAGCATATAATTGACCCTGGAAGCTTAGGACTGATCTAAAATATCTAACATCCACATTTCTCTCCGTATTCCATGACTTGTCTCCTTGTTGCCAAATATAGAGTTTTTCCATGTCACATCCGAGAAAGGTGCAATCAGGATTCATCGGAGATGATGACATATGGAGGAACAGCGAAGGTTGATCAAGGGCTGGGAGGTCCAATCGCACACGAGAGAAGGGATTCGATAGAGAGAGAGTGCAATTAAATTGCGGCTTTAGAACCAACCAACCGTGCGAAGAGCCACAGATGATTACTCTTTCACTGGAAGAAGCAGAGATTCTAACGTTAAATGACATATTCTCATCTATTACGTTGTGTAAGATGCAGGCATCACTAGCAACACTAAGCAACCACGGGATTTTGCTCATGGTTGGGTTGTATCTTGGGGTCGTGGCCAACCATTCCTTGCATACGGTGCTCAAGCGCATGGCATCCTTAGGGTTCATGCACATCAATACCGACTCGATAATATCGATGGAAATGTTCTTGATGGCCTTGGCCTTGGCCTCTGCCTCGGCCTCGCATATTCTCTTCTCCTCATTTCTCTGTTGCTTTTCTGTAGATCTGCTACCAATTCATACCACACCTTAGATACTGGTAAGGATTACGAAGAAATCTAGTCTAATCTAATGTAATGGGAGAGGAAAATGGAAAAAAAAAACACTCGTAAAATATTTATAATAGTTTTGAGGATGTGAAACTATGAGGTCATGTAGACGCTTAATATAATCGAGAGAACAAAGCAAAAAAGAAGAGAAGAATTACTGGGTTAGAAACGGAGGACGAAGGACATTGGAACAAGAACCCTCGACCCATCCCTTTCCTTTCATCTGATCCTTTACGCGAGACGTCTCCGCTTCGCCGGTCATGCTTCGTACTGTAGCAATGCTATGCTTAAATTGGGACCGTCATATGCTACGATTAAAAGGGCGAGTCAAATTTGGAGTCACATTAGCGATAAAGTTTGAGGATTACATCGAATTCGATTATTTGAAACCATTTATAGAAGATATAAAAAATGATCAAATCGATAACTACTACCATTATTAAGGATGCTATATTACCATATACATGTAAATATAACATTCCTATGTTACCATATATATGTAATATAGGAATATTACATATTGTGAAGAGGATAACATTCCTATATTTCACTTTGCTATATTACCATACATATGTAAATAACATTCCTATTTTTTGTTTTTGTAACTATGGAATGCAATCATTAATTATGGAGATCATATCTCCTTGTATAAATTCATATAATAAGTGAATCTAATTTAACTAATTAAATAAGTATAAACAAGAAAAAATATATCAATTTATAATGATTCCTCATCTTTTGAGAGCGTCAACTTTTACTATCGATCGTTCTCCCAACGACTAAGATAAACATTCCTTTAAAATTTTCTCTTTTTCAAGGCTTGTAAGAGAACTTTACATTTGAAATAGTAAAGTTTTATAAGAATATCACACATTCTACAACTTAATAATCTACCTAAAACTTAAGAAACTCAAGAAATACTCAAACAAAATACAACACTTAACAAGCTTAAGAATGGATGCTTTACTAGACAAGCCTAAAGGAAAAACATATAACATCAAAAATTCTAAAAATATGAAATAAATTAATTAAAAAAAGGGTTTTAGTAGCGATAAAAGATATTTTGGTACCACCCAACTGACAGTCATCTCATATCACACATGGTGCTACTCTTGTCAAAGTAGTGCATTGATCGATTCAGGAATGACTGTATCTTGAAATGACGTAGCCCAGCTTAGAAGCGACGTAGCCCAGCTCTAAAGCGGCACACAGCAAATCCACGCTGTTCAGAATCAAGTGATACTTACTACTAAGGATACAACCTCGCAAGGCATGGGGTCGAAAGGATAGCCTCGGAATAGACAAACCGCTCGTTGGAAATGTCGGTGGATGCTAACAAGCACAGGGGGAGTTGACTCCCTACAAAAGGTATAAAAACCACCCATAGATAGATGTTAGGGGATAGGATTTACTGTTGGGAAATCTTGGGGGCGACATCAGATGCGCAGCGGAAGAGCAAGAAAACAAAATCCCCGTTTCCCAAAGAGATGTTCGTCGTCGTGCGAAGATTGGTGTGCAAAATCCGCGAAACTGAAAAACTGCGTATAGAGTAGATTGTGTTACTTAAGAAGATCGTATATCCCTATTTCCTTGCAGATATTTAGGAGAGGGTGAAGAAGGTCAAGTGTCCTCCTCTCTAGCGGTGATCCACACAGCAGGGCTACAACGACGCTCCTCAAAACTCCAAGCCTGCTTTGAGGTAGAGAGGGGAAAGAGAATAGGAGAGGTAAGCAAAGGCTCTAGCCTATGAGGCTCTGAATCCCTCCTATTTATAGAGGTCCCCTGTCAAACCCTAATGAATCCTCCCCTAGTGGGTATTGGATCTGCATCCAATAACCCAAGCCTTTTAGATTAGTGGATCTCTATCCAATAATCTCTCATGGGCTCTTATTAGATCTCGTCCATGGGATCCAATAATTCAGGGGCTTATTGGATATCTAATAAGACAAGGGCTCCGTCGGATATCTCATATCCGAACCTCTACTCATCGCAATGCCTACCATATGTGTGTGACCCTCTAGGCCCAATATCGAGTTGGTCGTGAGTCATACCTATCAGAACTCCTTCTAACTAAGTGAATTATTATCTTTGTAATAATTCACTCGACTCATCGACTACGGACGTACTAGGCCACTACGTCGTAGTCCCCAGACGATACAGGGGAATCCAATCCATTGGATCTGTCTATCCTCAGTTACTGTGTACCTATAGTCCCTCATCCATCTAATATCCCTGAGACCGTATATCGAGCATGGTGCTGTCAGACCCATACGGTTTCTACTCGAGTCTCGCTCTAATCGGATTCTCCCGGAGAACTCTTTCTCTCTCAACCCGAATGACCCTAGCTAGGGATTTGTCTGAGCAAGAACACATGGGATATTCCTCTCATGACGCCGAGAGTGGATGATCCTCTATCGACACTCAATAGCCCTCGTAAGATCGACTACCACTCCCAATAACCAATTGTACTTGATTTGGGACAACCAAACCTATAAGTCTGGTATCAAAGAGTGGAGCACTCATACAGGACATCCTTGGTGTCTCAAGTCTAAGGACTAGATATACCACTAGGACTACGGAATCGCTGTCTGACAATAAGGCATCATCAACCATCCAACATTTCGTAAGCGGATCAATCAGTGAACTCATTCTCCAATGAGTACCTATACTATATCCCTAGTGTCCCTACATGAGCAGCTATGAGACCAGTTGCATCCATCATATGGATGGGTATACAGCACACCAATCTGTCCGGTTATCACGATGTCCCTCTCGAGTAACCTATGACCGAGATTATTTAGGATATGTGTTTAAAGATGAATTGATCTCATTTTTGTGATCTCATCACGATCCGATTCTCATTGCACAAATCTAAGGACATCACAATATATATGTGCATATATGCAATAGTTATAAAATGATATATGCCAAAATATAATAAGCAAAAAGATTCTGTATCAAGTCACACATGCCATCACTCACATGATCAGGATGTCATCCACATATAACACCAAAAAGGTGATAGCGCTCCCACTAACCTTCCTGTACACACAAGGCTCATCTTCGTTCTTAACGAAGTCATAAGATCTGATTGCCTCATCAAATCTTATGTTCCAACTTTGGGAAGCTTACTTTAGTCCATAAATGGATCTAAGCAAACTACACATCTTATCTGGGCAGTTCTTGGACACGAATCCCTCAGGTTGCATCATATACACCTCCTCCTCGAGGTTCCCATTGAGGAATGCGGTTTTCACATCCATTTGCCAGATCTCATAATCATAGTGTGCTGCAATAGCTAATAGAATTCTGATGGATTTTAGCATTGCTATGGGTGAGAAGGTTCCGTTGTAGTCAACACCTTGCCTTTGACGATACCCCTTAGCCACTAGCATTGCTTTATAGGTCTTTACCTTTCCATCTACTTCAATCTTTTTCTTAAAGATCCACTTGCAACCAATGGGTACAATACCTTCGGGCGTATCAACTAGGTTCCAAACCTTGTTGGAGTACATAGAATCAATCTCAGAATTCATGGCTTCTTACCACTTCCCGGAGTATATACTCATAATAGTCTCCTCGTAGGTCTGATGATCAATATCCTCAACATCCTCTCCTCTAATATGACCCATATATCTCTCAAGAGGATGAGATACTCTGTCAGACCTACATAAAGTTGAAACTTGTGTATTAGGTACCTGAACAAACTCGGGCTGTAGAGTGGTGCTTGAGCTTGGTTCTCCAACCTCGCTCAACTCTATCATGCTCCCACTATCTCCGCCAAGAATGTGTTCCTTCTCAAGGAACACTACTCTCTTAGCTACAAAGACCTTTTGGTCCTCTAGATGATAGAAATAATACCCACAAGTTTCTTTGGGGTATCCCACAAATTTGTATCGCTCTGTCCTTGATTCTAACTTATCGGGGTTGTGTCTTTTAATGTGGGCAGGGCAGCCCCAAATCTTAATAACCTTAAGATCAGGCTTCTTCCCTTTCCATATCTCATATGGTGCAGACACTACCGACTTAGTTGGAACTCTGTTCAGAAGGTAAGCTGTGGTTTCTAGGGTATATCCCTAGAATGAGATGGGTAGGTCAGCGAAACTCATCATGGACCGTACCATGTCTAATAGCGTATGATTTCTTCTTTTAGAGACACCATTGAGCTGAGGTGTATAAGGAGATGTCCATTAGGATAATATCCCATGGTCCTTGAGGAACTGAGTAAACTCTGTACTTAAGTACTCACCTCCTCAATCTGATCGAAGAGTTTTGATACTATTTCCAGTCTGGTTCTCCACCTCATTCTTATACTCTCTGAATTTCTTAAAGGCCTCGGACTTGTACTTCATTAAGTACATATATTCATACCTTGATAAATCATTAGTAAAGGTAATGAAGTAGGAGCAACCACCAATGGCATGAGTTGACATGGGTCCACATACATCACTATGTATGAGTTCCAACAGCTCAATGACTCTCTATCTAGTTCCATTAAATGGAGAGATGGTCAGTTTTCCACGAAAGCAAGGCTCACAAGTTGTATATGACACATAGTCGAATGGATCTAGATATCCATCATTTAGCGACTTTTGAATCCTTCTTTCATGGATGTGACCTAGCCTACAATGTCATATGTATGCACTGTTCATCTCATCTCGTTTCTTCTTGAACACATTTACATTCATGATATGTGGAATAGTGTCTAGCATAAACAAACCTTTATGCAATATTCCTCTCGCCAATCTCCCATCGGTTTTGCTAGAATTTACAATAAATTGTATATGTGATAAGCAATACTGGTATCCAATACTAATGCACTATCACAAAAATCTGACAATTGGAGATTGATCATGAATATACCTAAAGCTTCTCCAAGCTTCTGTTTCACCCTTTTTGCAAAGTATTCTTTGCAGTTTCTCTTCCAGTAACCATCTTTGCCACAGTGGAAGCACTGGCCTTTGTCCTTTGTTGGGTCTTTCTTAGCAATCTTTGATTTACCTGGTCTGCCCTTGCCCTTTCCCTTCTTAAGGGACCTTTCTGCTTTCCTTTTCTTTCTGGTCTCACCAGTGTAGAGAACTGACTTCTCTTTCTTAATAGAACTCTCTACCTCCCTCAACATATTAAGGAGCTTTGGAAGAGTCACCTCTAGCTTGTTCATATTAAAATTCATCATGAACTGTGAAATGGAATCTGGCAGGGACTGAAGCATAATGTCCACACACAATTTATCCTCTAGGACCATTCCTAGACCTGTGAGTTTCTCTATCCACTTAATCATCTTTAGGACATGGTTCTGAATCGGTGTCCCCTAAGTCATCCTAACATGGAAGAGACTCTTGAATATCTCATATCGTTGAGTCCTTCCCTGTTCCTCAAACAATTTGTGGACTTGTAGGAGAATGGATCTGACATCCATCTTTTCATGTTGTCTCTGTAACTCAGGAGTCATAGAGCCCAACATATAGCACTGAGCAAGAGTGGAGTCATCAATGTACTTCACGTAGTGAGCGATCTCATCCTTGCTTGCCCCTTCTTCGAGCGCAAGCATCACTGTATCAAGGACGTACACGATTTTCTCCGCCATGAGAATAATTCTCAAGTTACGAAACCAATCCGTATAATTTGGATCAGTGAGGCGGTTGACATCAAGTATGCCACGTAAGGGATTTGAAAGCGACATTTTCTAAAAATAAAGATGCAGCAGAAATGAATAACATACAGATTTTGCAAGAAATAAACTATCAAGATATGAACTTCTATCTTAATATACTCCCACTATTTTACTAACGAGTCACGCGATATCCTCAGCATGTGAAACGGAAGTCTCCGGCAGACTTCTAGTGGGGATCAGGATCCAATCAACGTCTTAGTGTAACCTCGAGGGACTCAGACCAATCACACTAAGCCTAAAAGGTAGGCAACTTTTGCCGATCACAACTCCTTGTGATTCCCGTCCTGTTCGGCCTCCGAATCACCATGGTCTCGAGGGACTCGACCAACCATGATACTCGGTTAAGTCAACACCTTCATTATAAGATGAGTCTGATTTGATGATATACCCTCGAGGGACTTGACCAAGCATACCATGTCCTCAGGTCACCGGTGACATCTCTATGTCGTAAACAAGATAGCGAATCGCGAAATAGGTGAGTCTCGAGGGACTCGACCAACTCAACCTACACCGGTAATCGGTTCCTACTTATAACAATGGAAGGCCACGTGGGTCAATCTAATTGCCTCACGTTTATCGACTTAATATTATCGAGAGAGATATTTCTATAATTTGGTCTTCTAATATGATATGTCACATATATACATATTTAATATATATCTACATCGCATGCAAATATATATATACATATCTAGTATGTGTATAAGCAATCACACCAGATGATCATGGACCACAACCTAATGTGATTAGGCCCGAGCCAGTAGGCCTAATCACTCACATCAAGATCTATGTGTGCAACGGTGCATCTCCATACCCTGTGATCGTCCATCTCATCCTCGTCGGTTCCATCGATATCTCGATGCATCCTCATGCATCGCGATCGTCCGTCTCGTGGGTCTCGCTATCGCATCCACGCTCCCGCAGCGCCTTCTCATGTGATTACAACTTAATCATAGGCACGCAGGCCCAATAATAAATGAGAAATATAATGGAGGCTCACAGACCCCAATAATAATAATCACAAGTATACACATCACACGGTCCATGATCATCCGTCTACACATCATACATCACATGTATAAATAATCATCATCATGTAGGACTACTAGATAATAATAAAAATAATAATCAACTAAACTTTTTAATTAATTAGTATTTTATGAAATCAGGGACATATAGGGAATTTTTGAATTCATAAGGGTATTTTCATAATTTAGACAAAAGACAGAAATTAGAATTTCTCAAATTCACAAGGGCAAAACTATCTTTTTGCCCAAGAATGCCCTAATGCCCTACTCTCCTACTGTCGCCGCCGCCACCACCCTGCTGGCGGCAGCCTATGCGGTGGGGCGAGGGCGCTGCCCTCGCCTACAGGCGGCACGCCCATTGGCGGCGCTGCCCTCGCATGCAGGCGGCACGCCCACTGGCGGCACTGCCGTTGCAGGTGGGCGCCTCCACAGGCGGTTCTGCCGGCGGGGCAACGCCTGCAGGCGGCGTTGTCCCCCGGGCCGGCCGCCCCTATGGAGGGGTTTCTGCCCGCGGGCTACCAGCCCCGCCGGTCGCAAGCCTGCTGCAAGCAGGCCGTCGACCGATTGCTGCAAACGTAGCCCCTGTGATGCCTGCTCGCGACTGCGCTACACGCACGCAGATCAAGGGCAGCAACTATTGCTGCCCTTTCTCGCTATTGCGTCAACGATTTTGACGTCAAAAGTTTCTTCAAAACACAACATATGCAGTTCAAAACCAATCTATCGTACGAACAACTTGGCTCTGATACCACTGTTGGGAAATCTTTAGGACGACATCAGATGTGCAGCGGAAGAGCGAGAAAACAAAATCCCCGATTCCCAAAGAAATGTTCGTCGTCGTGCGAAGATTGGTGCGCAAAATCCGCAAAACTGAAAAACTGCGTATAGAATAGATTGTGTTACCTAAGGAGATCGTATATCCCTATTTCCTTGCAGATCTTTAGGAGAGGGTGAAGGAGGTCAAGTGTCCTCCTCTCTAGCGTTGATCCACACAGTAGGGCTGCGACGACACTCCTCAAAATTTCAAGCCTGCTCTGAGATGGAGAGGGGAAGGAGAATAGGAGAGGCAAGGCTAGAGGCTCTGAGTCCCTCCTATTTATAGAGGTCCCCTATCAAACCCTAATGAATCCTCCCCTAGTAGGTATTGGATCTGCATCCAATAACCCAAGCCTTTTATATTAGTAGATCTCTATCCAATAATCTCTCATGGGCTCTTATTGGATCCCGTCCATGGGATCCATTAATTCAGGGGCTTATTGGATATCCAATAAGACAAGGGCTCCGTCGGATATCTCATATCCGAACCTCTACTCATCGCAATGCCTACCATATGTGTGTGACCCTTTAGGCCCAATATCGAGCTGGCCGTGAGTCATACCTGTCAAAACTCCTTTTAACTTAGTGAATTATTATTTCTGTAATAATTCACTCGACTCATCGACTACGGATGTACTAGGCCACTACGCCGTAGTCCCTAGACGATACAGGGGAATCCAATCCATTGGACCTGTCTGTCCTCAATTACCGTGTACCTATAGTCCCTCATCCATCTAATATCTCAGAGACCGTATATCGAGTATGGTGCTATCAGACCCATACGGTTTCTACTCGAGTCTCGCTCTAATCGGATTCTCCCGGAGAACTCTTTCTCTCTCAACCCGAATGACCTTGGCCAGGGATTTGTCTGAGCAAGAAAACATGGGATATTCCTCTTATGACGTCGAGAGTGGATGATCCTCTATCGACACTCAATAGCCCTCGTAAGGTCGACTAACACTCCCAATGACCAACTGTACTAGATCTAGGATAGCAAAACCTATAAGTCTGGTATCAAAGAGTGGAGCACTCATACTGGACATCCTTGGTGTCTCAAGTCTAAGGACCAGATATACCACTAGGACTACGGAATCACTATCTGACAATAAGGCATCATCAACCATCTGGTATTTTATAAGCGGATCAATCAGTGAACTCATTCTCCAATGAGCACATGTACTATATCCCTAGTGTCCCTACATGAGTAGCTATGAGACCAGCTGCATCCATCATATGGACATGTATGCAACACACCAGTCTGTCCGGTTATCATGATGTCCCTCTCGAGTAACCTATGACTAGGATCATTTAGGATATGTGTTTAAAGGCGAATCGACCTCATTTTTATGATTTCATCATGATCTGATTCCCATTGCACAAATCCAAGGACATCACAATATATATGTGCATATATGCAATAGTTATAAAGTGATATATGCCAAAATATAATAAGCAAAAAGATTTCGTATCAAGTCACACGTGCCATCACTCACGTGATTGGCTTACTGGGCACCTATGACTAGCAATTACCATTCATAAAAACTGACTTAAGCTTCGAAGGGGTCAAGTCAGAACTCCCCTCTCCGACAATGACATATTGTGCAAGGACTTAGGACCAGAAGTCTCTCGCGGATCCATTGAAAAACACCCTAGGAGACGACGACCACAACTCTTCGTCCCTTTCTCGTGAAGCCTTCCTTTTAAGTAACTATGTAGATAACTTTATACAATCGGGACTGAACCAAACCGTGTTTCTTCATTAGCCACGATATAAAGAATTACAATGAGTAGTAATACTATTGTTCTGAACGATACTGGTATTGACAACCTAAAATAATAATATTGGCTAAATACCACTAGTTGGCCTTGGCCAAGCCATGGGTTGGCCAAATAAAGATTTTATTCTAACTCTTTTTCAGCCCTATAATAACAAATTTAGGATTCAGTAGATATAGGCTATAGCCCAATTTTGACACATTTAAAGTCAATTACAATTCAAATTTATTTTGACCATGACTTCAAAGTATCAACCACTCTTTTGCCTGTCATCAAGTCTCGATGCAAGTCATCCACACATTGTCTGATCTTTACACATATCGTGTTATCCTTGGATATATCAATTTATTCTTCTTTAGTACTATATCCAATGACGATGTCTGATTCTTTGACACGATTTTAGTTTTTTAACTTAACGTCCAATCTTCTAGCAATATGCAGCCTTAGTAGAGGTTCAATGCATTTCACCAAGTTGAAGTGACTCTGGGCTGTACTTGCTGCATTGTGTGCTACATACCCACACGTACATGTGGAGTAGCAACAAAAAATAAAGGTCCTTCGATGAATCCTACTTGTCTAATCCAAGACAGATGCTATACTTGTCTATTCCTTTAGCCAACCCAGCATAATCGCTATTAATTCAATAGGAACGTCAAATGAATAATGTCTTCTCAGAAAGGTTTAATCCTAGAAGCTGCTACTCTTGCAACCAAAAGAACTCGAATTATACACAATGGCCTATGCATGTGCTATATCTGCCTTGGAGATCATGCTTCCCGTTATCGCCTTTTAACCATGGATCGGGAATCAGCATCACGGCTCAATCTTGTTCTAAAGGCATAAGGTTATCCTGATGAGTTCTCATGACGATCGAGTGAGGAGGTTGACATCGAGTATGAGGTAACAAGAGTGGTCTTGAGCTGGACTCTAAGCATCTGAGATCGTTTTAAGGTTGGGCTAGGGTTGGCTCCGGTCTCCTCGGAAATTCTACACTAAAAGTCAAAATCAAGGGAAGGATTTCTCGATCTGATCTCTCCAATGATCGACTTAGTTTTTATAGAGTGGAAATAGTATGGGTTTTTGGGTCTATCCTTAGTCCTTGTTCAGACATTGGTGATAGGTTTTAATACCTAGGAAGCCAAAGAGGGGCTTATGGTCGATGGATGACGGATCTGTATGTCCTTTTATGACTCATTTATATGGGCAGTTGGTCCATATGACCCCTAATGGCATGTCACCAGCAAAGGATGACAAAGGGAGTGTTGCCCGCCAGCCTTGATAATTAACAGGATTGAGTCAAATAGCTCCCTATGGGTTGTCACCCATAGGGGCTGACCAGGGGAGCGTAGGTCGGCTCGATCACCTAGGGACAAATACCCTTAGTAGTAGGGCCCTACCACCTCTAGTAAGTTGCAATTCATAGTGGTAGATAGGTTGCTGCCCTACTGTCGGTTGTGGAGGGGACAACCTGGGCCTTGTGTCTTCTATGTTGGCTCCTTTATAGTGGCCAGCTGGCAAGCTATAAATGATACCATAATATTCCCTATCATTTGTCTTGCCCCTGAAGGCATGCTTCAAGGTGCTTGCAAAGGGGTTTGAGTCATGTCGCTCGGCCATTCAATCGGTTAGGGTCTCCTTTTCCTAGTTGGGTTTTCCATTTTGGGAGCGTCAAGTTTTCTAACATTGGGTGTGGGTCAAGTTTCACGACTTAAGTGCCTTGGACATATTTTGCTTGATGACTCTATCATACTGGACATCTGGTGTAGGTTGAGTTTCTCGACTCACATATCTCGGGTATATTTTGCTCGATGCCTCCATCGTAGCGGGTATCTTGGTGTGGGTCGAATTTTCTAACTCACATGTCTTGTACATATTTTGCTCGATGCCTCAACGATAGCGAGTATCTTGGTGTGGGTCAGATTTCCTGACTCGCACATATCGGGCATATTTTACATGATACCTCCATTATAGCAGCCATTTAGCGTCAGTCATGTTTCTCGACTTGCACATCTCAGGCATATTTTGCCCAATATCTCCATCGTAGTGGACATCTAGCCCGACTCACATCCAGCATGAGTTGTGTTTTTTGATTCATACATCTTAAGCATATTTTGCCCGATGTTTCCATCATAATGGACATATAGCATGGGTCAAGTTTCTCGACTCATACTCCTCATGCACATTTTGTCCGATGCATCTGTCATAACGGATATTTTAGTATGGCTTGGATTTCCTATTTCACATATCTCGAGCATATTTTACTTGATGTCTCAATCGAAGTGGATATCTAGCGTGGGTTGGATTTCCTAAATCATACATCTCGAGCATATTTTGTTTGATGCCTCCATCATAGTGAATATCTAGCATGGGTCGAGTTTCCTGACTCGTATGCCTCGGGCACATTTTTCCCGATGCTTTTGCCATAGCGGGCATCTTGGAGTAGGTCGAATTTCCTTACTTGTACATCTCGGTCAGATTTTGCTCGATGCCTCCATCGTAGAGAACATCTAGCATGGGTCGAGTTTTCTGGCTCGCATATCTCGGGCATGTTTTGCCCGATGCCTCCATCATAGAGGACATCTAGCATGGCTTGAAGTTCCCAACTCACATGCCTTGGGCACATTTTGCTTGATGCCTCCACTATAGCAGGCATCTTAGCGTCGATCAAATTTCTTGACTCACATCTCGGGTACATTTTGCCCGATGCCTTTATTGTAGCGTACAATTGGCATGGGTCAGGTTTCTTGTCTCATTCACGTTAGGCATATTTTGTCTGATGCCACCATCATAGCGGGGACCTTGGAAACGGTCGGATTTTTCGAATCACACATCTCGGGCACATTATGCCCAATGCCTCCACCATAGTGGGTATCTTGGTGTGGGTTGGATTTTCTGACACACATCTTTGGCTCATTATGCCCTATGCCTCCGCCATAGCAGGTATCTTGGTGTGGGTCGGATTTTTCAACTTATACATCTTAGG